AAATGAAGAGGTATTGGAAAGAATAGGAGAACAGAGGACTCTATGGAAGTCAATAAAAAATAGGCGAGATAGGTTGGTAGGACGCCTTCTTAGGCATGAAGGTCTAGTCAGAGATATATTAGAGGCAGAAACAGGAGTTAAGAGGAGTGGAGGTAGACCTAGATTAGATTACTGTTCACAAATAGTTAAGGATGTGGAATGTTCTAGTTTTAGGGAAATGCGAAAATTAACTCAGGATAGGAAAAGAGTGGAGGTACGTGTCGAACCAGTCTTAGGATTGACGACCTTATGATGATGATACAGTAATTCTGAAACTTTCGTGGAAATGTGCACAATAATCCACAAATATTTCATCACAATCGAATGAATGGTGTGGGAACGCATACTAGACAAACAAAGAATCATTCATTATGTAGATTGGAATGTCATATTCCAACATTTAAAAGACTTCACTTCCAATACCTGTGCGAGTATCATTTCCGATGCTTACCCGTCTTACTTTCGAAAAGGATTAAATTCATAAATATTTTTATCTTTTACGTAGTAACTGGAAGCAAACAATGTAATAGTTTACTATGTGGGAGATAATACACATTTAAAATTTCCAAACTAAAAGTCGCTGCATTATTGCTTTTTTGTATTTTAAAACTAATATTTGACTTTTAGTGAAAAACTGTCAAACAAAATAATTATACGGCAACTTTGATCAGAATTGTATTATGTATTGTTAATGTTATGCAGAAGTATTTACTTATATGAGGCCAAAGTATGAAGAAGTACACAAAATCATAATTTTAGTAATCCATAGATATGGTTCCATATTTGTTATTACTTATTAATTGTCAATTTTTTTCTTTATAAAGGTTTCTACTATTTTCAAAAATAAAGATAAATTTCGTATTTTGTGCGAAAACTTGACTATGACTGACAAATTATTAAGTCTGATTATGTCGTTATGTGTTTTGGACCATGCAGGACTTTTTATAAAGAGCAATTTTCTTTCGTAAGATTAATAATAAAGAAGTTGAACTCATTTGCAATATTTAAATGTAACTATCAGAATTTTTTAAATTGTAACTGTGAAAGCACTCAATTCTTTCGTTCAATTACTTTAGTAATCGTGTTACTGATAATATTTACGATTATTTGACAAATTATTCTAGATATGCGACAATTATATAATCATGACCGGTAAAACGCATTAATGAGCAATTTTAAAAGAACAGATACTAAACACATAAATATATTTGACTTCCATTTCGTACACTCCGGAGGACCAAAATGTGTGTCTTGAGTAACTAGAAATTAATAGCGTCTGATCATTATAACCATAGGTCTTCAGTCTAAACTTTCCCATAAACTAGAATATCACTCATCCCTTAATAATTGCTAACGGTAATTTAGTCTAATCTAGGACTTCCTCTGTCCCACATTATTCCTGTTTCTGCTTCTAATGTGACTCTAACTGGTCGTTTTTGCTTCAGAAGATGTCCTGTCATCCCACCTCTCCTCTTCCATATTAACTTCCTAGACGTCCCCTATTTTCTAATTTTTTTCAATACCACCTTATCGTTTTTGCTTCAGAAGATGTCCTGTCATCCCACCTCTCCTTTTCCATATTAACTTCCTAGACGTCCCCTGTTTTCTAAGTTTTTTCAATACCTCCTTATTTCCAACTATCTCTATCCACTACTGTTTCTCCACTTGCGATAACTAACTTTTCGGTAGTTGTGGGATCATCATTAACATTATGAAGTACTATGTACTATAAACGTCAGTTAGACTTTGGTGAAGTTTATTCCCTGGTTAGCTTGGGTGAAGTGCTAAGCATCAGGAATTAAAAAGTATACATTCGATTAGGTTGTGCTAAGACAGGTTTCCCTAATTTGCAATGTGAAGCAGTATGAAACTTGGAATTACTTTAAGAAACGTGGAATTACGTTAAGAAACTTGTAATTACATTAGGCTATAGTAAGAAACGATTCCTTGATTGGCTTTTGTGAAGTTGAAGTTGATGTAGGTTAGATTTTATTGACCAGTATGAAGTGCTATGTACTATGAACTTCAATTAGACTATGGTGTGAGTTGATACCCTAATCAGCTTGGGTGAAGTACTAAACACTAGGAATTTAGAAGTATTCATGCATCTACCATGCGTTGAAATTACGTTATCCTGTGGGAAAGATTTCCTTCGGCGTATGTGAGGTACTAGGCACCAGTAGTTTAGGTTAGGTTATGATGAGGAGGATGGTCAAATGTGACTGCTGGATCCCACTGATAACGGCAATCAGCCGTCAAATTTGCGAACAGTAATCTAATCTAGGCCTACCTCTACCCCTCCTAACTCCCGTTTCTGCCTCTAGTATGTCTCTGACTAGACCTTCATGCCTGAAAAGCTGTCCTACCAACCTATTTCGCTTATTTCTTATTGACTTCCATATAGTGCTGTTTTCATCCATTCTTTCTAATATCTCTTCATTTCTAACCTTCTCTATCCACGATATCCTCATCATTCGCCTGTAACACCACGTTTCAAACGCTTCTAACCTTTTCTTTTCCGCAGCGCCCACCGTCCATGTTTCGTACCTGTACAGCGCCGCGCTCCAAACATACACCTTTAACAATCTTTTTAGAATTTCTAAATTAACCGTTCGTAAGCATAGAAGTGACATCGTTTTATTAAAAGTGACTCCACCCTGCGCTATTTGTGCATTATATCCCTACTACTCCTTCCGTATTGACTTATCCGACTTCCTAAATATCTAAAATCAGCTACTTCTTCTAATTTTTCGTCTCCTATCCTTATATTCGCTCTTTCGCTACCTTTTCTTCCCTTGCATACCAGTATTTTAGTTTTACTTTTATTTATTCTCATACAGTACTGTTTTATCCAACTAGTTAAGAAATAAAAATGAAAAAGAATTAAACTGATAGTGAAACAATTAGATTTAGTAACAAACGAGATAGTTTTACTAGCATTTAATTACCTATTATAAACGTGATTGTTCTTTTGTTTTTAAAATAAAATGCAACGTTTGCAAGCGTTCCTGCCTAAAGTGATTACGTGTGCACGCATGAATATTAAATGTTATTGTCAATTGCACAAAAAAAGTCATTACTGTTTAGTGATTATTATTAACAACAAGTGCAATCAATATGGGTAAGTTCTTCAATCTTTTTTTCATTTATAATTCAAAATTATACACGGTCACTATCGCGCATTAAATTCATTACTCGCGTACGTTTTAAGGTCGGGATGACGCATTACTGAAGAGGTAACAATAAAATTGGTCATTTTTTACATTAGTTGACAGACGTGTTGAGACATAAAGTTAGGTCAGGTAGGTAGTGTTCACCAAGTAGAATCGTGTAGTACTATTTATTCCGTGCGGAAACCAATATGGCTTGAGACACAAGCAGCTAAAATTTTGTTCGAGGAAATTCCGGTAGGAACAGCCCTGGCATCAGCCCTTTGTCAGTTATTCCCGCCAAATATGTACTGGTGACGTCATTGTTTAGTTAGTTAGATTTATGAGAGATTGAAGATTCCTTAATGCTCCTGCCCTGATATGTTGGAATAATGCTACGAGGTTATCTTTGTTTCTGCAAACACGATGACGTTCAATTTTTACTATGTTGTAGACGTGATTATTATTACCAGTTTGAAATAGATTATTAATGAATGTAACTGCTGAGATAAACTGTAATTGTTTACAATTCCAGCGGAAGATACTATTTGAACTTTTATTACAGTGTCCACATATTTCTTAGTATATGCAAATAAAATAGGCAGTTCATCATCATCATAAGGTCCTCAGTCCTAAGACTGGTTGGACATGTACCTCCGCTCTTTCCTATCCTGAGCTAAACTTCGCATTTCCTTAAAACTATAACAATCTACATCCTTAACTATTTACGAAGAGTAATCTAATCTAGGTCTACCTCTACCCCTCCTAACTCCTCTTTCTGCCTCTAATATGTCTCTGACTAGACCTTCATGCCTGAGAAGGTGTCCTACCAACCTATCNTTATATACATTTTTGTTTTAAGAAATTGCTAAACATTTTCGTCTAGAAGTGCACAGTTCTAGCCGATCTCTAAGACCGCCCATAGAGAGCTCTGCTCGTTCAAGCTTGTTCCGATTATTTCTGTCTTGCTCACGCCTAGTGTGTATTCTTTCTATCTTCGCGCAGATTTCTTCAAGGTCACAATTCAAACAAATTGAAAAGGGCTGTACGCACATTAGCGCTCGTCCCGTTTTGACCCGAAACTCGTTTTGCCCCAGTCTCCCCTATATGTTATTTTTTTATTACAATAAATAGATTAAAAAGTAAAAACATTTGATTCGCTGCAAAAACGACATTTTACTTGAACTGAAAACAACTTCATTCTTGAACGCAATATTCTTGAATAATAATATTTTAAGAAAAATGTACTTACTCTTTAATCAGCAATTCTGGACAGCTAAAAAACATTTCGCTTGGTTCTTAGTTTACACTTTTGCAAATTAAAAATTAAGACCATGAAAATTATTCAGTTGGAAAAGGGCATTTGTCTGAATCGCTTTTTATATATAAACGGTGTCTTGCATTCGCACCTTTTACTTAGCTAGACTTTTAAAATATTAATTTTCTGTGATGAAAGCAAACATTAAATTGCTATTAATTATTATGTAGAGAAAGCGACCTTTCTCAAAGGATGTGATGGAAGATCACCAAAGGGCGGTAGCTCACGTATTTTAATGATAAACCGGCACACAAAAGTGGTGAGTTGACTATTCGTTATTCAGAAAATGCGTCAGCAACCAAACTGTTTTCATTATGAGGACGAGGGTAAACAAAGACGATAAAGAAACAGGTACAAGAACATAAGTCTAATCTGTCAAGGTGTTGTGTTGGTAATGTCTAAAGGATAAACTAAATCATTGGGATTTTTAACGTGTAATTAGCAAAGAATAAAAAAAAGAAATAATGGAAGCACAAATCTGTTTTAACAGGCCAATTTACTTTGACCGCGTCGTTATCATTAGGTAATACTGTAATTTAGATAAATGAATTGTTTTCATGCATGCACTGTATACCTACCTACTTATGTTTCAAATATGTATGTATGGTTTTGTGTAGGTATGCGTACGTAATGATAATTTGTACGGCTTTAGCCTCTCAAAAACTGACATTCTGAAATTAGCTTGAAAAACTCAAGAAAAGAAAGAACTCTGGGTTACCTTCGACATCCAGGATGTTTCCCTTTAATTGAACTTTTTATACATAGAATGTGGTTGTGGCTGTATTTAAACACCTACCGACGCAATCAACAAGTTAAACGGTATTGAGGAATTCTGACTCATTTGTGTAAAAAACTTATTGGACCTGTGATTATGGAGTCAGGATTCCCTGATAAGCTTATATAAAGTGCTATGCCCCATGTAAGAAAGATCGAGATGAGTTGACAAACAGGGTAAGAAGACGAATTGTCATTATCTCACAATCACTAAACAACAGTTATTATATAAAATAATTCGAACTGGTTTGTATTCTGTCGAAACTGCCAGACGCGGATCGCGATTTCGATCTTTTTGGATCTCATTAGCGCGTCGCAGGCAGCTCCGGCAGAACACAGACCAACTTTTACCTGCTGTCTTAACAG